GAAGACAGGGTACCCAGTACCTCACAATAATTTTATTAAAAAAAAACTGCGAATACAAATTAGACCTGTTTTTTTCATGTAATATAAGGTGTTTATACCTGGATTTTCACTATCCATATACTTATAAACTTTTTACCATCTCGTCCATTATCATAGAAAAATACAGATTGTAATATAATGTCATGCTCATGGAATTTTCTAGTAGCTGAAAGTCTTGCATTATTCTGCAATCAAGATGGCGGACGTCTGCGATCCTAATTTGGTTTTTAACGAAAGAGAGAGACACCTGTCTCGATCACACTGTCTCATGTTAAACACGATTGATACCATGATTTTAATCAACAAAAGGTATTTGATAAGTAAAAAATGACATTTCAACTAACATTAATTTTACTAATGTTTATTATTGTTATTACTAATCATAAAGAATTATAAAAAGTAATTCTCAGCAGTAATGTAACTGTCATGTTATTGTATTTGATTTTTCATAATTTTATGATCTGTTGCATTGCCACTTAGGCAATCTATAAAATAGTTTTATACATATTTTGAAATTGTTTATTAAAAAAATTTTTTCTTATACATAGAGTAGGTGGGAAGCCATAAAAAGTATTATATGGTTGAGTATTACTGAAATTGTTATATACTTGAATACTGAATAAGTTAGCTTTATGCACAAGCAAGTTAATTAACAGGCAAAGTAAACAGAATATCAATTAATTCTGCATATTTATTACATGCCATTGGCTGTGTAGTGTTTTATTTTTAATAATTTTTGACCGACTTCCCAAAAGAAGGAGGTACTCAATTCATCTGTATGTTTTTTTTATGTGTGTTACGGCATAACTCCGCCGCTTGTAGACCGATTTTGATAATTCTTTTTTTATCCGAAAGGTAGTGCTTGCAGGTGGGTCCCATGTTTTTATTTGATTTTTTTTAGCATTGTTCTATTAAAATGTTTTTTTCCCTGACAAGATTTATGATATGTATCAAATCATTAATATATGTTTAATGCAAAATGTATAATTAAATGTATTAGTTGTTTCATTTCAACATTTGTATGTCTTTTTACCCAAAATCAACTTATTTGCCACTAGGTTAAAAAAAATCGAAGTTGGTGTTTCTATTTGTCTTTATTAAGAAAAATCCTTAAGTGTTAATAAAAATAAAAACACCATTGGACTCCACTATCTATATTTTTATTACATTTTTCTATAACACAATATTATTTGAAACAGCTAACAACACAAATAGCTACAAAAAATTCTATGCTTCATCTTTTTTACCAAAAGGATTCATTTTTGACAGCCATGATGTAGTTGTCCTGAAAATAAACAAATTTCTTTTAAATATATATGGATTTATTGATTTATGAACTCAATAATGGTTAGTAAATGATGGTGAAATAATATAGTGATATTATGTACTTAATGATGATAAGTGTTAAGTAAATTATCTACTAATGATGGTAAAACCTGCCAAATGAAGTGCGAACATTAAGATAGAATAACAAAAATACTGTAATAAATAATTTTATCACACATACATGTTTTAGACCCAACATAAGATTTTGCATGGTTTTACCACCTTAATAACTTCATACCAAGGGAACATCTTTGCTGGCATTCCTAAAAAACAAATTAAAATAGTATAAAATTCAATTTTAATATAACTTACGAAATTTCTTCCGTGGCATCATTTTTATTCTCAGTTTCAGAAGCTTTTAATTTCTCAACTAACTTCTTACGGTATATATTTTTTAAAGGAACGGGTTTATTTTGGGCTTCTTTTTGTTTGGCTACTTTAGATAGTGCTTCATACCAGGTTAGTCCATACCACTCTATCTCTTCGGGTGTATACTGCAAAATAGTTTTAAAATAGGTTATTCTATACAAAAATATTCATGACTAGCTATTGCTCGCAACTTCACATAAGGGGAATTTAAAAAAAAAATATAAATATATCCTGGTAACGCAGTGGTGGCGGTAGTTTTTCAGTTTATTTATAAAAATACAATTATTTTCTTTCTATAATATTGGTATACATAAAGTTTAATTTCATATGTTTTTTGAATAAAATGAACTTCAAATTTGTAATAATCGCAAAACAAGCAGTTAAATGTTAGATGTTAAATATGGAAAGTATCTTACTGAAGACAAATAGGTCTTATATTCTTCATATATTTCCTTTTGCTTCTGTGGATTGTTGGCATGTCTCGGGCATCCATTCATTAACTCTATCAGAATTTGCTTCTTAAGCTTCAGTGCGAGCATCGACACAAGATCACAAGCTGGAGTCTTGAGCAAATAATGATCAAATCCATAATGATCATTAATTAAATTAATAGTTCTGTCAGTAACAGTCACAGAAAGATGAGTGTTCAATACTTCAGAGCGGACAACAGTTCTCTTTAGCACTGGCACCCAATAGTGAGGCACTCTACGCCTTTGCTCACTGCGCTTTTGAAAACCTAAAAGATTTTTATAAAGATGTTTAAAATCCAACATTAAAAATGTAGGAAAGAAATATGCAGCTGTCCTGAATTTTATATCAATACAAATCCAAATAATATAGGTTATGTTTTAAATTTTACAAAGAAAAATATATGCAGGATAGACTTAATGTATGTTTTTTTTTTAATAATATACCAGAATTGTGGCAAAATTATTATCCCGAATAACTCAACAGAAGATAACCTAATCCAGGAACAATTACTTACCTTTGATCACAGCTTCTCCTCCCCATATGCCCTCGTGCAACTCAACTGGATGTTTGAGGGGTAAAGGAACATTCTGCACGGGTAGAGTTTCACCAGTTATCTCGTCACGTTTCCATTTACTCTCTTGAGGGATGAAGTGCACTGCTGCAGGCTTTAGCACTTTCCATTCACGCCAAAACTTTTTATATGCTGGTGGTAATTCCGATGCAATACCAATGTCAAATCTACTTTTCTTCTTAAATGTATTGGAAAGCTGGCGCACAGTTGCCTTAAAAATAAATCAACACATCAAGATAAGGTCGTAACAATAAGAATCAACATTGTGATGATGTAATTTATTTTCACAGGGGCTTTGCTTAGTAACTTACCTGGATACGAGACGATGCCATTTAACTATTTAATAGTAAACAACATAGAATCCAAATTTTACGATTTCTGAAATTAATCTAAATAAATCTTATTACAGTTCATGCCAATTCTGTCTGTCAAAATCTCGAAATCTGTCAACGCATACTTAATTTTTTTACTTTATCTGTGAAATTATAATCCTATTAATGAAAAAAAGTTGTTTTAAGTTAATAACTTCTGTTTTTTTTTTCAAATTAAGAAAACTTGATTACTTATTACTTGTCATATTTCCATATAAAATAAAAGTTCACAAAACGTAAATAAATTCTGTTTTTTATGCATAAAATTTAACTTATTGGAAGTAATCAAATCTTTTACAAACTCGCTGTGTTTTTTTGTTTACTTTAAATTAACTTTACAGTGGCATCTCAGTTTTATTGGAATGTCACCAAAAAAATATAATCTGTGTTTCTCGTAAGCAATCTGTGGTGACGTTGACGTGGATCAAAAAAATGGCAATGGCAGGTAAAAAGTGAATCCCGTGGTGGCAAAATATTTTGTTTACTATTTACGACCTTTTGATTTTCATAACTTAGTGTTCCGTGTAATCGTTATCCTATTATTTATAATAATCAGTAAATAAAATAAGCAACGTTTTAATGTGCGCAGCGAATGAAAAAACATGTCTGATAATAAAAACGTCGATAATCATCCTGAAAAGGATCAAGTGGAATCCATTGATACCAATTTAGCAGTAACCAGCGATGTGTCCAGCGTTGTGAGCAGCGTTAGAAATGTTAAGGTAAATAAGGCTCTTTGTACAGATATACATTATATTTGCTAGATATTTGACACTTGTCGAACGTCCTATGCATTTCGTCACCTTCGAGTTGATGACTGTCATTATAACTTATTTAAATGTATGTAAACAATATACCTTTTTTATTTAGAATCAGACTCAATAAGTTTACCTAGTAAGCCCTTGAATTTCGAAATGCTGCTAAGTGAGAAAATAACTTGAAATTTTAATAATTTATCTTTCTCATGACCTCTATAATGCCTTCAGGTCTCTTATAACAACTATGAATTAGTAGGTCAATATGTCAGATTGTCAATGTATGTTATCTCAAATAATTACTTTAGTAACACTGTTAAAGATGTAACATGTATATTTCATAGACAATTCTAAAGTCAAACTATTTTTTTTTCTTGTAGCATTCAACATCATCCGAGCGACAGAATAAAGTGGAGAGAGCACAAAAATGTTTAGAGAATGCTGCACTAGTATCTAAGCGTATTAAAGAACAAAGAAAAGCCACAGCAGAACTATTAGGAAGGCCATTTGGTAATTTCTTTGAGTATACTTTGCTTAGTATTACAGTTATATATCCTTTGGGATGATGTTATGTAATGTTGTAAAAACATCATAAGCATATCTGTATTCATGCATAAACATTTGGTTTCAATATCAGAGGCACTATTCGGGATTAAATGCCCAGAAATATCTATATTTTACTGTATATTCAAATTATATAAAGGGTAGTTTAAAGTGGAGGTTGTTGGCTTTATGTAAACTTCTGAGCTCTATATTTTATATTTATTTTTTTATAACATAAGGTGGCAAATGAGCAAGCGGCCACCTGAATCCTCCAAAATGGTGCAGTAACCGCTGCCCATAGACATCCGCAATTGCAGATGTGTTACCTACCATTGTCCGACGGAGGAGAAAATGCACATAATGAGTATATTTCCCCTTTCTATGCATCTCCTCCACCACTAAATCCACTTCCTCTTCCCATCCTCGTATAGGAAAAGGGTGGTAAAGAGAAAGGGACTAAAATAGAACTACCTAAGTTTTATCCTGATGTGGATAACTGTATGGTTGTTAATTATTTCAGAGGATGATGTTACGGATACTGCTTCAGAAATGGCATCCACCATGAGTGAAAGGACAGGTTATTCTGTAGCTACAGATACATCTACCACTTTGTCAGTCCAGGATGCCTTGAACAGTAAGTTGTTTGTTTTTTTATACTTTTAGTAGTAGTGGTTGCACACAAACTTTGTCAGCAATGAATAAAAAAAAAGATAATAAAATAATATTCTCGAGTGCATAGGCTAACTTCCCATCCAGTCCTGTCAAAATCATTCCAGATATGGTCTTCTTCCGTAATTTTAATATTTATCTATCCATAAGTTTAAAAATTATTGTTATTTAATAATTTACCAAATTAAATTCAAATTTATTCTTACTTTTGTTTTGTTTAATCGCAAGTGGGCGAAAACTAGTAAATAAAAAATATTTATTGGATAGAGAGTTGAGTTAAAAGCTCATATTTTTAACCAAAGAATTTGAGGACCTCTCATGAAAAACCAACACAATATTGCTATTTGCCTGCCAACAAATAATTTTATGTGGCCGCCATCTAACTAATGATATTCATAAATCTATTACCAATTAAGCAACAAAGCAATTATAATTTTATTACAATTGCCCAGAGTCAAAATGACTATTAATGAAACATCATTTGAGAAAAAAAAAATCTCAATCAATCCTTTAAAGTCATTATAAAAACTAGTTCCCTGAATGAACTTTACCAATAAAATAATATTTTATTTTTTAACAGAGCATAATATATTACATTTTTAATAAAGACTGACCTTTAAATTAATTAAAATGCAAATCATTACATATTTCCCCAAACAGACTAATCTGTTTTTATTTTTTTAGAAAAATAATGGTCCTCCAATATTGTATTAAACCAAACATAAGGATTTAAAGAAAAAAAAAAAGCACAAATGTTTTAATGATTATGACTGTATTATGTTTTATAATTAGTTTTATAGGCATGCAAGTATTTAATCAAACTAGTCTGTAGTTGAAGTGATAGTATTTCGCCATAAAAAATAGTAACACGATAAAATACATATTTTAAAAACATTTTAAATACATTCACTAGACGCCAAGATTTTGACTAAATGTACCGTAATTGTTGTTTGTGGAGCGGCCAAAGCTCTTAACATTAAAGTCACCCATATTATCTTGTAGGTTAACATTTTGGTTGTAATTATTGTCACCCTGTACATCTGCAACTTTCTGTGCAGTATTTTGACCTCCTTTCGGTAGATTTTTCAATGCTGCGAGCATTTTGCTGTCTTCAACCGCAGCATTAGTCGTTACCGGAGCGACCGCTCGTGAGTTTTGGCCGTAGTTCTGTAGACCAAATATCTGTGTAGCCGTGTCAATTATTTTGCCAGGAATTGATGTTAGAATTGATAAGTCCCCGTGGCACGAGTGAAGCGTAGACAGAAGTAGCACAAGTAAAATCGGCCGAAACATCGCGTTGATTTTTGTTAAATAACTGAATTTAGGTGCGACAGCGAACAGTTTTGTTATATGACTGGCTCGGCTATGAATTAAAATAGCTCGTTCAAGAAACCGGTCGATGAAGAAAAAAATCAACTTAAATTATAATAAGTCTGTAACAAGATTCTTGAACATATTTGTTTAAATTCTAAATATTGTTTCATATGTTTATAACGACTATCCTTTCTTAATCTATGTTTATGTGTTGGCCAATAGAAGTGAGAAATAATATGAATAACTAGCTGTTGCCCGCGACTTCGTCCGCGTGGTATTTGAAAACATATGAACTATATAAATAACAAAAAGCTACGTATCCCTCGGGAACCGGACACCTCGGGGATGAAGCTTATCCCATGTATACTCCAGACTTTGTTTTACATCTGTGCCAAATTTCAATAAGATATGTTGAACCGTTGCAGAATGATCGAGTAAACATTAAAAAACTAAATTAATGAATCCCACGGGAACCGTAACTTATCCCGGGATAAAAAGTAGCCTGTGTGTTCTTCCAGGCTATGCTCTAAACCTGTGCCAAATTTCATGGAGTTCCGTTCAGCCGTTTAGGCTACAAACGCTTACAAACATCCATCCATCTAAACTTTCGCATTTATAATATTAGTAAGATAAAGTAATAGAATGATTCACAAGGTTTTTTTCAGTAAAGGCCTATCTTTGTAATAAATTATAGTAACATGTAAGGGTTCATTAACTCGTGGCAGCTGCATTTTTATATTTTTGCTTATCTATTTTTAAATTACTTTTTCTTAAATACTTAAGAGATGGACCGGTTATCAAGTTAGAGCTCGAACATACTAGCGATTTAAGAGCAACATAATAAATACTGTTAATGTAAACCAAAATTCTATAACATATGGTTGTTATTTTTATTATTGAAAGTGGCACAGTATGGTCAAAATCTCGTATCCCTTTGTATCGCTAGACGATAAATGTTTAGGAGCCCCACAAAACAAATTATGGGAAAATACATAATTTTTGACCACA